CGAAAACCCAATCCCGATGGCAAACACCGGGGGGGGCGGCTTGTTTTACAACGTCGTTGCCAAGCGACGAAAACCCAATCCCGATGGCAAACACCGGGGGGGGCGGCTTGTTTTACAACGTCGTTGCCAAGCGACGAAAACCCAATCCCGATGGCAAACACCGGGGGGGGCGGCTTGTTTTACAACGTCGTTGCCAAGCGACGAAAACCCAATCCCGATGGCAAACACCGGGGGGGGCGGCTTGTTTTACAACGTCGTTGCCAAGCGACGAAAACCCAATCCCGATGGCAAACACCGGGGGGGGCGGCTTGTTTTACAACGTCGTTGCCAAGCGACGAAAACCCAATCCCGATGGCAAACACCGGGGGGGGCGGCTTGTTTTACAACGTCGTTGCCAAGCGACGAAAACCCAATCCCGATGGCAAACACCGGGGGGGGCGGCTTGTTTTACAACGTCGTTGCCAAGCGACGAAAACCCAATCCCGATGGCAAACACCGGGGGGGGCGGCTTGTTTTACAACGTCGTTGCCAAGCGACGAAAACCCAATCCCGATGGCAAACACCGGGGGGGGCGGCTTGTTTTACAACGTCGTTGCCAAGCGACGAAAACCCAATCCCGATGGCAAACACCGGGGGGGGCGGCTTGTTTTACAACGTCGTTGCCAAGCGACGAAAACCCAATCCCGATGGCAAACACCGGGGGGGGCGGCTTGTTTTACAACGTCGTTGCCAAGCGACGAAAACCCAATCCCGATGGCAAACACCGGGGGGGGCGGCTTGTTTTACAACGTCGTTGCCAAGCGACGAAAACCCAATCCCGATGGCAAACACCGGGGGGGGCGGCTTGTTTTACAACGTCGTTGCCAAGCGACGAAAACCCAATCCCGATGGCAAACACCGGGGGGGGCGGCTTGTTTTACAACGTCGTTGCCAAGCGACGAAAACCCAATCCCGATGGCAAACACCGGGGGGGGCGGCTTGTTTTACAACGTCGTTGCCAAGCGACGAAAACCCAATCCCGATGGCAAACACCGGGGGGGGCGGCTTGTTTTACAACGTCGTTGCCAAGCGACGAAAACCCAATCCCGATGGCAAACACCGGGGGGGGCGGCTTGTTTTACAACGTCGTTGCCAAGCGACGAAAACCCAATCCCGATGGCAAACACCGGGGGGGGCGGCTTGTTTTACAACGTCGTTGCCAAGCGACGAAAACCCAATCCCGATGGCAAACACCGGGGGGGGCGGCTTGTTTTACAACGTCGTTGCCAAGCGACGAAAACCCAATCCCGATGGCAAACACCGGGGGGGGCGGCTTGTTTTACAACGTCGTTGCCAAGCGACGAAAACCCAATCCCGATGGCAAACACCGGGGGGGGCGGCTTGTTTTACAACGTCGTTGCCAAGCGACGAAAACCCAATCCCGATGGCAAACACCGGGGGGGGCGGCTTGTTTTACAACGTCGTTGCCAAGCGACGAAAACCCAATCCCGATGGCAAACACCGGGGGGGGCGGCTTGTTTTACAACGTCGTTGCCAAGCGACGAAAACCCAATCCCGATGGCAAACACCGGGGGGGGCGGCTTGTTTTACAACGTCGTTGCCAAGCGACGAAAACCCAATCCCGATGGCAAACACCGGGGGGGGCGGCTTGTTTTACAACGTCGTTGCCAAGCGACGAAAACCCAACCCCGATAAACACCGGGGAGGGGGTGAATGTGGACGGGAGGGGGGGTAACCGGTACTGTAGATGAAAGTTAACGTTACCACAGCTCTCACACCAGCACAGCAGGTAGTTGATACGTGTGCGGTGTTTGAACTCTGTTTCCACCCGTGGACGCACACGTCTGACGACAGTAACATCTATCAGCTGTCGCTCGTTGTAGCGACAGCTAGGATATCTTTGTTATTCCATTCATCTTCTTGCCTGTCGTGCTCACAGGTTGGCCACATGGGGTGCTGCAAGGACACGTCACGAGAAACAATAACAAAACACCAACACATCGTACGCTCACGCACTTGTTTGACGGGTGCAACCAAACCACTGCCGACAAACACAAACAAGGAGCGAAAGTCTCCTCACTCGAGTAAGCTGCAACATGCAACAATAGCCAACGATGTCGACAATATGAGCTATGGCTAGAAACGAACATAGAATGCCCCCGCCGACGAGTCCTGATTGGCCACAACTTGCTACAGAAAGAAATCCGGTTCAATCAGCCCTCCAGTCGATGTCATTCACGGAGGGGGGCGCCGTGTTCTTCAACACGTCGAAGATGGCTTCGGCGGCCATCAGGTCAGCATCCCGCCCGTGGAACCGCGCCGGCAGACACGAGCGAATATTATTTGCTGCGATCATGGGGATTTGCTTCAGCGGGGGAATGTGGGCGAAGTTTTCATTGAGGAACATGACGATCTCCACCCAATAGGTGTCAATGCGGCTGCTGCTGCTGCTGCTGCTGCTGCTGCTGCTGCTGCCCGCGTTCTGACTACCCCCCCAGCGACCGATCATGATCCGCTCGGAGGGTCCGCGCTGGTCGAGACAGAGCTCATTTCCCACAGAGATACAGATAGATGTGTGTGTGTGTGGTTGTCGACAATGATGTGTGGTGCGTGTGTGTGTGTGTTTATTATTAGCATCGACCGCGCTAACCGGCTGACCAATTGAAAGACGTCAGTGCCAGCGGGTAAAAATCAAGGTCCCTGGAAGAGGGCCAAAATTCGAAAATGCGCGATGCGCTTGATGCGAATGCCAATACGACTCTCTCTACATGGTCTTTCACGAAGACACACATCTCAGCTACACAAATGCCCTCGCTCGAACCTAGGAAGCCACTGATGCAAAGAGCAGAGGACAGCAAAAGGGTTATTTCAAGCCCAGCCGAAGCCAGGATATCGTGGTATGCTGCATCTCCCAATTTGATAATCGTACACTCCCAAGATCCAATAGTCAACGTGTCAGCAGCTAGATGACTCAAACAAAATAGCAATACATACACTGCCATAGCTCCACACATGCCCTCGCCCGAACCTAGGAAGCCACGTGTGTGTGTGTGCGCGCACCGGAGACTTGTGTACGAGTACCGCGTGATTTGTGCTCCGCAAATTGAAAAGGTGCGCTTCAAGTTTGGGTGGGCCTGAATCAGATTATATTATTCCGCGTACAGAAATACAAGTGTCCGGTAGGGTATGACAGTGTCACAGATCTCACAGAACTATCCGGTAGGTGTCAGATCTCACAAAAGTGTCTGGTAAGGTATTAGAAGTGTCACAGATCGCACGGAAGTGGCCGGTAGGGTATCGGAAGTGTCACAGATCTCACAAAACTATCAGGTAGGGTATTTGAAATTGTCACAGATCTCATGCAACTATCCGGTAGGTATCGGAGGTGTCACAGAACTCAACAGAAAATATCGGGGTTGTGCGAAGGTCGTACAGAACCCACAGATGGTAGCGGGTAGGCTCACAAATGTCTACAGACTTTTTCTGTAGGGTATTGGAGCGTCACAGAACTCATAGGCATGTTCTGTAGGGTATCGGAAGTGCCACAGATCTCACAAAACTATCCGGTAGGGTATAGGACGTGCCGTCTGCAACGTTCTGTAGGGAAAATACCCCCCAAAAAAACGCCGGTACAATTCTCTGGCTACCCTACAGAGCACACCCTTGGATTTTTTTTTTCACCGCAGAAACTGGCTCTATCGTCGGCTGTAGGCGTACATGTAGAGCCATAGAGCTGTAGATCAAGCCGGCCTACCTGCATTATTTGGCAGCGGACCCATACGTGACGGGACTTGATCAAATGACATCCGAACTCCCACTGTGGCACCATTTACTACCGATTAGCTTCATTTGTAACAACGTGCACAAATAATTGATCATTGATACTATGTGCCGCCTCCCTCGCTTGTGCTGCCGACAGCAGGCTACGGCCTCTACGAGTCGCACCCGGCGCCTTCCATGTGTGTCTCTGGCTGCCGTTGGCCTACACCAGCCTTTTGTGCTGCTGTGCTGCTTGTCTCTGTGTTTTCTGAGTGTGCTACTGCTGTGTTGCGCCTTTCAGAAGACATGCGGGGGATTCCACTTCGGCGGCGTGACCATCGCCCTGTTGCCCCACCAGTTGTGTCTGTCGTACATGATGTCCCGCATAAACCCTTTTGGGCTACAGGCTTCCTGACAGATAATTGATTGATCATTTGCAAAGGCTGGTGTGGTGGCATGCCATGGAGTTGCCGCCCTGTAACCCTCCACGCCAGGCGTTGGCAGGTCCAAAGGTATGTCTAAATTATTAGCATCGACCGCTGCTAGCCGGTGGCCAATGAAAACATATTACAGTACAGCAATGCCAGCGGGTAAAATCAAGGTCCCTGGAACGGTATCAAGATTCGAAAAATGCACAATGCGCTAAATGCGAATGCCACCACGAATCTCACCCCATATCTTTTCACAGAGAAACACATCGATAACTCCACATACACGACCCCGCCTAAATCTAGGAAGCCACTGAAGCAAGAGCGGAGGCAGCAGAAAGGGGCATTTCAAGCCCAACCAGGCCAGGATATCGTGGTGTATGCTGCATGTTCTCCAAATTTGAAAATCGTGCACTCCCGTTATCCAGCAGTCATCGTGTCAGCAGCTATTTGCATACCACACAGCAGTAGCAGCAGCAGCATAGACGAATCCAACATATTATATATAATAGTTGCAACAGAACATTCACTACCATCATAGCCCCACATAACCTCGCCCGAACCTAGAGAGCCACTGATGCACAGGTAGGTGTGTGCCGGTGTGCTTGCGTGCTTGTGGGAATTGCTGGAAAATCACAGGGGCTGTAGTGAGAGCCGGCAGGGCTCACATTGGGGAGGGTACAGAGAAGTACAGAAGTACACGAACCAGCTATTGTATGGGTCTACAAGCCCTCTCACTGATTATTTTCACTGATCACTTGAGAATTAGCCTATTTCAGCCAAATATTCGTTCGCCCCGACCAAATTTCGCAGATCCCGCCGGTGCCACGTAAGGAGGATGCTAGCACGGGTGGCAGGAAGACGGGAAGATGTGTTGAAAGCATGATCGGTGCTGTGGATGCGAACCGTACAGAAGATGTCGATCTGTCGATAGGACCACCGCAGAGTCAGGACAGTCATGGTGCTGGGTCGTCCGAGCTACCCCTCTCACCCGAGGATATCCACAGTTTCGAAGAGAACGGTTTCGTCATGCTCAAGCGAGCCTTCGATCCGGATGTGGCAGCTGCATGCAGGCAAGGCAGGAAAATGACAAAAACGATGTTCGTCACTCAAATATATCTGTCCGTCGTACTTCCAAAACGGCCGGAGTGTTATGGGGCGGTCAATGTCCGGAGCAATCGACAAGGTGCACTCGTGGTTCGGGGATTATAGTCGTGTCTATGTGGGAGCACGTGTGCACACAAGGCATAGCACGAAGTCTCCCTTTCATCAGGAGATCAGGTCATTGTGGGGCTACACCTTGAAATGCAAGCGCGCCAGTGTGGTGGTATGGTATCTAGTACATACGGATCCACAATTCGATCATGGGTTATGCACAGAATCATTGAGGGAGACGACTAGACAGGGTTAGTCTACCGATGACTCCGCGCTTCCCAACCGTCTGCCGATGAATCAACGATCAGGGAGTCCCTGTGGAAGCGTCTCAAAGGTGATGGTATCCGCCGTGAGGAGCCAGCAACATGGATCAGGAAAAAAGGCATCTCTGAGATATACGGTATTGCAAGGTAAGTCGACTCCTTACTCACTAGGACTTGCGCCTAATAATTGCCTGTCGTGCTCTACAAGCACGCTGCTGGCAGATCTCCAGCTACAGCACGACAAAAAACACCCTGAACAGCAATTGAGTGCTAGTTAGGCTGAAACACACACGTGAGGCGTTGCCAGCAGTGATCCGGCCGAAATCATGCCTTGGGGGATGCTGCGCTTCCCCTCCCCCCCCACGACTCTCCTTCTGTTCCGCTCAGCTCACCCAAAAAGAGGCGTGGCCACCCCTGGAAGGGAGCTTTGTCTCCCAAACTCAAATCTGCTGTCGACCAGTTGGCAGGAGTCGACAGCTGGGAGGAGTTCGGATGCGGATGGTGGATGGTCACGTTTCCAGGATTTGCGCAGCCTCCGTGGGGAGCTGAGGGGAAGTGGCACATCGATGGCGCGCATTTCAGGCACTATCCGCACAGGTAGGACCGACACTTCAAGCGCCGATGTTTTCTGCAACGGTTCTCATTGTGGGCCAAGAGGTTGATATGTACCATCAGTTATGATGTTCGCGTGGAACGCTGCCGTTGGTTATTACGGTGTCAGGCGTACTAGTTTTTTTCTACCTGATTTGCGCGTGAAGTTTAGTTCCTGTCGACCGGTGTGGGCCACGTAAGGGTGGGCACAGCTTTCCGTGAATTGCGTTGATCGATTTTTCATATATCTCCTGCTTGTCATCTTGGCCTTGGCACTTACTTGTAGGTGAATTTTCGCTCCACTAATTCTGGCCGTTTTGTGCCCTGACGCCATATATCCCCATCACCACTCTGCCACCTATAGCCGCGAAATCGGAATTCTTCCAATATTCCTGTTCTCGGACGTGCGTAAACACGGTGGCGGCACGGCTGTTCTTCGAGGGTCTCACAAGAAGGTGGCGAAGATACTGTGGAATCGCGCAGGGACGACGGGATTAACTGGTACTGTCGTTTGTCGTCACGATGTTGTTGCCACGACCCCTTGATTCGATTATCCCGTCGAACGTCCCCGAAAGCTACAGTACCCTGAGCACGCAGCTTGTGGTACATTGTTGAGGTCTTTGCTCGTGCCCAGAGAGGACGACGTGGCGAGTGCCCGTAGCTGCGTAGTACCGGATCTCTCAAGCACGCTCTGTGCGAAAGGTTACTCTCGTGATCGACGAGCATCCGGTACGTTCGATCTAACTTTATGAAACTCCGTGTCTAATACTACACGCACAAGGAACCTGGGTCCAACCGTGAGGCCTCGTCCATCCTCTGTCATCCATCTTCTGAGTTCATGTTTGAGTTCTCTAGGGGACGATCGAACTGCTATCGCGATCTGTATGTTAGTCTCCGCACTGGGCATTGAGGAGCGGAGCTGTTCAGCGGTATTGTGCGGGTCAGGGAGTATTTTTGCCGCCCTTCAGCTTGCGGGGACGTGTTGTGTGCATCTTTCGTCTGACAGAGTTGCGTCCCCCCTCGCTGAGCAAGAAAAAGCAACAATTTCACCTCTGGCAGCAGTGCCCATCCCAGCCCCGCGACACCATGTCATGGATTCCAGGCAAAAACAATTTTCCGTCGACGCCGCAACTTCCTGTGGTGATTTTTGGTCGGGCGCGTGCACAGGCCCGGAGCTGTCAAGCGCCGCTCGGGAGGCACTCCTCCCTGCTGCCGATGAAGATGTTGTCGAGACGAACGGTGACGCCGGCGATGTCCTGCTTACACACCCTCTTCTTCTGCACTCGCGGTGCGCGCGCCACCGCGTTGTTTCGTTTGGAGTTACATGAAAAATTCTTTTTGCGCTATGCACAGCAGCATGGCAGGACACAGCGATTGAGAGGTCTGCCTGACGTAATTGGTGATGATGGTATGGCTGGCACCCGTCACTGCGGTAGAGGCGATTGAAAATTCACGCCAACCTTTCTCAGGTTGCTTTATGTTGGTCACGACCAGCACCAACCGACCAGGACCGGATCCAATATCGTAGGCGGTGCTTTGTCAATACCATTGGAGCACCCGTGTACGGAAGCAGGCGGTGCCTTGACCACACCGTGGAGCACGCTGAAGCAAAATGTACACGAGTGCTCTAATTGGGTGGTGTCGTATAGCGCTCTGCTTCACCACGGCAGGAAACCGTGAGGCTCTTACAGTATTGCATACCCTCTTCGCCCTGGCCGCCGCTGTTTTGTCTCGGCCGTTCAGTTCCAAAAACCTTGCTCCAATCGAAGAATCCGGGGTACGCTTCATGTGTCATCCTGCCATACCTCTCAAGGATCACCTTGACCTACACGTGAGTAACATGCGGGGATTTGTGCTTTATTCCCGCAGTCCCTCTGTCGTTGCCAAACGTTCCATGTATGGTGTGCCGCAGAAAATGTCTTGGAGCGGCCGTTCACATCCTCACGAGGTCGGTCCATTTTGGCCCCTTGTCTGGTGAAACACGTGTTTGCCAAGGGCTAACCAAAGTCGAATAGGAGGAGTCGTTTGAGGTTTGCCGGAAGCGATACGAAGGCCATTCAACGACTGCCCTTCCAGCAATTTTGTTTTTTTCCCGTCCGACCTCGTCAACTGTAACCATTGTCCGCTCACTCCGCCCTGCCCACCAAACCACCCTCCCTCGTGACGTCGTGTTGTTCCGACGGCCCGAAGTCTGCTACCGAAACCCGGTCTGTTCTGGAACGCGTAATGATGCAAGCGTGTCCTGTTGGTGGCCGAAATTCGCTTGATATGGATGCTGGTGTTAGCGCTGATGGTGACAGTGGTGGTATCGCAAGTGCGGACGCGAAGGTCGGGGCAGCTGGTGCAATGCATCACGCGATACCCACGCCCGCCGAATGTGACCACTCCCCTGTGGAATTGCGGCCGGCCGATACATCGAAAGGAGTGCATGAATACGCGGGCGGTGGGAAACGGGGACGATGGAAGGGGAAGGCGAAGGAACGCTGTCGTGCGACAGCGGCCAATGTTTCCCAGCAGCAGCAGCAGCAGCAGCAACAGCAGCAGCTGCTGCTGCTGCTGCGTTCGGGCGTGGGAGGGGTTTCGCCTGAAAATCACGTGGCCGACAGCGTAGATTGGGGCGCACAGCCTGATGCGTGTGGTGGTGGGCCTGGGGCGAAAAGCGAACAGTCGGAAAGAGATGCACGATTCGCAAGGTCCAGCAGCAGCCGCTCCATTGACAGTACCATTGACGTGCCTGCTGGCGGTGGTGCAGCGCACGACGAAGATGACACCGTTGTCCTGAACGCAATGGGGTTTAGTGATTTCGGGGGTTCGCGATGATGTGTATGTGTACCTGTACCTCATCGATGTCCACCGTGCTCCTACACGTTTGGTTGGGGGCTACCGATCCACATTCCGGCCAACCCTAAGGGCCCACTTGAGGTATCCGGTTTTATCTCTAGCGACCATTTTTAGGACGACGGCGGGAGAAAGAGCGCGTTCGGTTGTTCTGCATGGTTTTCCCACACTTGAAAAAATTGCGCTTTGGAACAATTACTCGAGCTGGCGCCGTCTTGGTGCGGGTTCCTGGAATACACGGCGATGTAATAGTCTACCCATTCAGTGCATCAACACAGAAAATATTTCCACTTCCGACTAGCACAAAAGGGTTGAGGTTTGGGTTGAAACAGCTGGTGAGTGAGGCCTGCGTTGAATTGTGTTTTCTCTGACCAACCACGCCCCGAATTCTTCAAGTGTGAAGCCGATTCCTTGTAAGAGCTTTTGCCGAAGCGGGAGTTGCTCGGGGCCTGCGTGGAAGTATTGGACATTGGTCGACAAAACGTAGAATCGGAGGTCAGGGGCAACCACGAAGAGTTGCTGCGTGGACACCAGCGTGCAAGTGCTGCGCGGCATCCACAACTGCCTCTTGACACCTGCGTAGAGCTTCGATGGTTCCCATTGGTTTCCCATTTTATGCACTAGGGCGGCAGCTTTGTGCCGGATTGATGATGCCTGTGGTCTTAAACCAGCGTCGCAGTAACGGTTTAGAGATATGCTGGCATTACAATAGTTGGAACATTCGAATTACTTCCGATCCCACATAGGGGCAACCACGCATGTCAATGCTACCGTACAACAACAGACCGCAAACACGAACCACGCCAGAAAAAACGATCTCAAGACGATTGCGCACACACACACTTGACTTGTGTGGAAGTTTCACCCGAACTTTACAGCAGCTTTACAGGCGATGAAGCACTAACCAAGTCGTTGATTATGGACCACTTGGGTACACACAGGCACACACTGCCGGGTGATGAGGAACAACGAAGCCGAATTTCATCATGATCAACGAAGCAACACGTGAGTAGGCAGCAGGAGCGTGGAAGGATGACAAAAATAGCACAACAGGCAGAGGCGCCATCGAACAGCAATCGTGAGGAGCACAGAAAATACGTAGTCAAGCTGTGCCTTGGACGCCGGCCCCAGGAAGCAGGAGGGAGGAACGACGACAAAACAAACACGAGAAACACGAGAGGCAGAGGTGTCATCCAGGAGCAAACGTGAGCACAGAACTCACGGTATTCGAGTTGTACCCTGGACGCCGCACCCTGTATGCGAAACCAATAAACCAAGAGCAATCTCACGGTACGTAAGGCCGCCTTCCTCATTAACACTGGAGTTAAGAACCGCGAAACGAACACATTTCCTATTTGGTGGACCGTGGCCTGTGTGACTGACGATTTCGTACTCCCGAAAAGCAGGTATAACGTTCATCCACAAAACTCGCCGCCTCATGAAAGGCAGCACACCACCCTAAGATGTCCGAGCATCCGGGCCCAGAAAAACAAAAAGCCCTGGACGCAGTAGAGCTTCCCCAACAAGGATATCGCTAAATCGGTAGCGACCGTACGTATTACTCGGGCACGTTCTGGAAGAAACTCAAGGGGGTCATCGCCTCGCTCCCTACTCCCGCCGTGAGCTTGGGCGAAACAGAAGTACTTGAAAACTATTAATCCAGAACCGTTATTTGGACTGAATTAAGCGCAGCACCCCCAACATTAATCGTGGTCACATGACGGTGCACTTACACCCCGTACGTGTCGCAGGCGACTCTCCTGCAAAACCCACTCCGTGAACTTGAGTTGCGTCGATAACTTCTGCGCTGTCGGCTTCACGCACGGCCCCTGATGTCGGCAAAACTGCCGTCGCCGCACCGGCCGTGTTCGTGGGACCCTTGAGAAAAGGCGGCAGCGACGGAGTCGCGCTTACCAATGCAGATTTGACCGCATTCTCGGTCTTCGGCGTCGTCTTGAGCTCGACCTCGTTGCCTACGCCTCCGCCAACTTCCTTGTCTTCGCGTGCAACACAATCCGCAGGACCTGGTACGACATCCTCAGACACTGCTGCTGTGCCGGTGCCGGTGCCGGTGCTAGTGTCCAGAGGATGTTCGTTTGGAATTGGGTGTGTCTCGTCTGACGTCGCGCCGTCAGGTACGACATCACCCCCAGGCGCTGACTTGACACCCGATGTGGCGTCTTGAGATGAGCCTGTTGCGTCTGCTGTGGCGTCTGCTGTGGCGTCTGCTGTGGCGTCTGCTGTGGCGTCTGCTGTGGGGTCTGCTGTGTCGTCTAGAGATGACGCCGTAGGATCTGCGCACAAAGGAGGCCAAGCAGAAAGGGGTCGGGTGGTTAACCAGCTAGTTGCAGTGATATGGAGTGTACGTCGCCTGTTGTCCAGCCCTGATGCGTACGACCAAAAAACGTCCGCTATAGGGACGCCAAGGAAACCTGGCGTCAAAATTAAATCAAACAGGCCGCGTGGAAGAGCCCCCGCGACGCTGGAACATCGCGCATCACCATGCCGCCGTGCCGAAGATGTATACGTTGTAGTGACTGGCGTACCCAAACCACTTGGACCACAACCCCTCAACGCCCCAAAGGAAATAGCAGAAAAGAGTGTACATTACAACATACCCGTGTTTTCTGACTGGGGATTTGGTTCGTCTTCTCGAGCCTTCGCAGCAGCCGCCTTTTCGTTTCGCGCTTTCAACTTTGCAGCCATCTCGTGTATCCCTGGTAGCGGCTTGAACGTGGTACCCACGTAATTATGAGGAAACCTGTGGGGGTGAGACCGTTCGTCCATGCATAGGTGATATCATCGCCCACCGGGGCATTGGGAATTCACAGAATAAATTGGTCGGACTCCTCGATTCCTGAGAGACGTTGCGATTTCGAGCGAGACTCAACTCGAAACATGAGGCCGCTTGCTTCGCACAGGGACGGTGACTTCGTACCCTAGGGCGTCGTCAGCCCCTGCTTCAAGCCCGTTGATGCAGTGCAGCATTGGGTCGGGCGTCGCCAATTTAGCTGCACTAACGTACATCAACAGAGATGCAACGGGGACCGGAGCTACCACGCAACACTTTGTCTTTCGTCACATCAGAGGACATGCCCGTAGCAGAAAGCGCGCTCGCGAGATTGCGGGGCGACTAAATCATTAGCTATCATGACATATCAAGCGGGTTTTGCGCAAGGGGAGCATCAGCAAAGATCCCCAGGTGAAATAGGCAATCGGCGGAATTTTAACGCCAATGGGCGTCCATGGGCGTCTGGAGCAGGTATTCCTTGGTTGTTTCAACAGGTCGGGAGGAAGAAGAAAAACACGTTGCAGGAGCTTAGTCTACATGGTGCAACCCTTGCATGCAACCTAATGAACAGGGTTTGATTAGCCCTGGCAAAGATCGTAGTGAAGCCGCGGGGGTGGGATTTTGGCGTCCCAAAACAGCTCATGTTAACCTCCTATCACAAAAGCCCAAGATTGCTGATACGAGTACTGGGTCAATGCGATGCGTCTTGGGACATCTATCACTACGATGTGTGCCCACACCAAGAGTTGATCTTACAAAACGCTTGCGTGCACTGCCATGGGAATATGATACAAACAAACCTCAAAAGTGGGGTTTCTATATATTTCTGTCAAGCTTCCTTGGGGTCCCACGGTTTCCGGGGGTCATGTGGCCTTCGTGTGGTCACTGGTATCCATCGAAAACACAAGGAACAACAAAATACAACCTAATTCAAACATTCGTTCTCACCACCCTTCGTTGCCCCCTCGTACTAATACGCCCCAACTCCACATATCTTCTTTTTGTTTGACGCGAATCTCATCTCCCACCTGTGGCACGAAGAGCAACCGGGAGGATTGCCGAGTCAACGGTGCTATGCATAAGGTGACGCAAGCATCTGAAACGACGGCATTTTGGTAAAGGCTACCATAGTTTGTTTGCGAAACAAGTATCACGGCAATACAACAGTAGAAGGTATGACATAGAGGTGACGCGCACGATGGCAAGCTCACGTCTGCAGCTGGCTGTGCTTTCGAAGGCTGCCACTGGATCCCCAAACGCCGGAAATTCACTTAGATCCAAACCAGGCGTCACTGATGTCCTCGCCACCACAAACGAGCCCCAATCTCCTGCACGCTGGTCGTCCTAGGCAGCCCTTTGGAATGAACTGCTATGCTGTCTTGCAGTCCAGAAGGTCTGGGTCAGTGATGCTGACAGCAATGTAATGTGAATGGTTTGAACCACGGATGCACTCTCCCACCGCAAAGTCTCAAAGGCAGATCTGCTCGTGCCAGCAAGCACATACTGTAGCTACTTCATGACGTCCAGGTTAGAAACAAGATTTAACGGGGTGATGAAGATCGATGTTAATTTCAAATGACTTCGAAAACGACTGAAATAATACTAAGCGATCACACGCGCCATTCGCAAGGCTAAGGTCATTTGGGACGTTCGGCGAGAAAAAACGCCCCAGTTGGCGCACAGAGCAGCGGTTGGGAATTCTCTTCGTGCCGACATAACACGAGTGTACGTCCACACATCCACACAGCAGTACATAGTTGACAAGTTCCTCTCAATTTCAAGACAAAAAATGAATATTCTACCCGTAGTGGGGCTACATCCTCCCTTAACCGTTGTACCCTGTTCGTCGCGAACAGCTACAGGTATATAGTCTACCCTGTTCTGTCGCGATCGATCATTTTCCCTTTTTCTCCCGCAGGAATCGATGACAGGCCAGAAAGTAGGTGAGCTGGCGAGACCATTCACCTCTTCAGTCAACATTCGCCCATTTGCATTCGTGTTTGTAGTATGATATGTATAACTCGAGTACCTAGAGCTCTGTCCATACTCTCCCTTCTTCCCCTCGCTCCTCGACAAGCTTTTGCTTAGACATGGGTTGTAGCGAAGGGGGGGGGGGGGGGGGGG